GACACACATGATAAGAATGATCTTAATGAAAAAAAGGGGAAAAAATAATAGTAATTAGAACGAAGATTAATGAATCAGTTACTTTTCTAAGGTGTTCAAGGAGCCGAAGACGTGGGGCATGGCGGAAGGAACCTGCAACTCCTACGGAGCCTTCCTGACCAGCGTAGGAAGCGCGGAGGAGCAAGGGTATCTGCAGAGGTGCGTGGTTTTGTCTTTTTTTGGGGGGAGGGGGGGGAGGTATTATGGGTGTGTGTGGATTTGGGAGGTCGTGTGTGTTTGTTTTTTGCTAGATTTTTGTGTAATTTTATTTTACTTTGTTTTGTTTAATATGTGTGTATGTATGCATGCATGCATGTATGTATGTATGTATGTATGTATGTATGTATGTATGTATGTATGTATGTATGTATATATATATATATATATATATATATATATATATATATATATATATATATTTTTTTTTTTTTTTTTTTTTTTTTTTTTTTTTTTTTTTTTTTTTCTTTCTTTTTGGATAAATTATTCCAGTTTCGGGCGATTGGATCCGAGTGAATTATTGTCATGGTCGTCGTCACAGTTATGGATCATTACCACTGCTATTACCATCACCACCCTCACCCTCACCCTTATCCTCACCCTCACCCTTACCTCACCCTCACCCTCTCCCTTACCCTTACCCCTACCCACCTACCTTACCCTCACCCTCACTCTCACCTCCTCACTCTCACCCTCACCCTTAACCTCTCCCTCACCCTCACCCTCACCCTTACCCTCACTCTCACCCTCACCCTTTCCCTCTCCTCACCCTCCCTCTTTCCTCACCCTTACCCTCTCCCTCACCCTTACCCTCTCCCTCACCCTCCCTTACCCTCACCATCACTCTCACCCTCACTCTCACCCTCACCCTTACCCTCACTCTCTCCTTCACCCTCTCCCTCACTCTCACCCTTACCCTCTCCTTCACCCTCACTTTCATCCTCTCCCTTACCCTCACCCTCACCCTGACTCTCACCCTCACCCTCACCCTTACTCTCACTCTCACTTTCACCGTCTCCCTCACCCTCACTCCCACCCTTACCCTCGCTCTCACCCTCACCCTCACCATCACCACCACCCTCACCCTTACCCTCACTCTCACCCTCACCCTATCCCTCACCCTCACCCTCACCTTCACCTTCATTGTCAGCCTTATTATGAAGATGACTGACCCTTCCATTCCCTCTCCTACAGCCTTCCCGGCATCAGCAGCATCAGTGGGGATTTTCTCTCGATTTGGGTCGGATTCCATCTTGCTGCGGATTCAGGTAAGGAAGGAAGGAGGGAAGGGAGGGAGGGAGAGAAGGAGGGAGGGAAGAGAGGGACTGAGGGAAGGGAGGGAAGAGATGGGAAGGGATGGAGGGAAAGGAGGCAAGGGAGAGAGGGAAGGGAGGAAAGGGAGGGAAGGAGGGAGGGAAGGCAGGAGGAAGAATGGGGAGAGAGGAGGGGGAAGAAGAAGGCCTGTGAGGAAGGAGAAACGAGGGAAGGATAGAGGGAGGGAGAAGGGGATAGAAGGAAGGAAGAGAAGAAGAAGAATGAAGAGAGAGAGAGGAAAAAGATGGAAGATAACTAAAGATACATAAAATGAGAGGAGAAAGAATGAAAAGTAGGAAAGGAGGGACAAAGGGAAGAGGGAAGAGAGCGAGAAGAGAGACTGGGAGAGAGGGATGTATGGAGAAAGGAAGAGCAGGAGAGAGAGAGAGAGAGAGAGAGAGAGAGAGAGAGAGAGAGAGAGAGAGAGAGAGAGAGAGAGAGAGAAGAGAGAGAGAGAGAGAGAGAGAGAGAGAGAGAAAGAGAGAGAGAAAGAGAAAGAAATGAGAGAAATATATATATTATATTATATATATATATATATATATATATATATATATATATATATATATATATATATATATATATATATATATATATAGAGAGAGAGAGAGAGGAGAGAGAGAGAGAGAGAGAGGAGAGAGAGAGAGAGAGAGAGAGAGAGAGAGAGAGAGAGAGAGAGAGAAAGAGAAGAAGAGAGAAATAGGAGAGAGAGAGAGAGAGAGAGAGAGAGAGAGGAAATAGAGATCGGGGAAAGAGGGAGGAAAGAAGAAAGAAGAAAGGAAAGAGAAAAGAAAGAGAGAGAGCAGAAGAAAAGAAAAGAGAAAGAGATGTCAAGCAAGAAACTCAAACCAGAGAACGTGGAGTAACCTCAACGCCGTGCAAGTAGCTATACCATCCTCTCTCTCTCCATCTCCCTTTACCTTCCCCCTCCCCTCTCTCTCTCTTTTCTTCCTCCCTCCTTCCTTTCATCCTACTCTCTCCCTCTCCCTTGCTCCCCCTCCCTCCCTCACTCCTTCCCTCCCCTTCCCTCCCACTCTATCCCTCTCCCTCTCTCTCTCCTTCCCTCCCCCACCTTCACGAAAAACCCAAATCCCTAATTCTAATTTCCTGCTAATTCCCCCCCCCCCAGGGTATTACTGGACAGATGGCTCAGCAGCGGATTACGTCGACTGGGCAGTTGGTCAGCCGGACAGCCATCTGGGGAGGGAAGGCTGCGTGCTGGTGGATAAAGTGACGTTCAAGATGTCCGATTCCGTTTGCGAGACGTTCCAGCCGTTCATCTGCGAGGCGGCGGAAGGTAATTTTTTTTCTTTTTCTTTTTTTTAGGGTGGGTGAGGGTGAGTTGGGGGTAGGGGGGTGGGGATGTATATTTGTTTATATAGTTTGTGGTTTTTACTTATTCCCCTCCATAGACAAAGGAAAGAAAAAAGAAAAGAAGATTAAAAAAGAAAAGAGATAAAAACATCCCTCTCTCACAGGCATTTTGTTGTGAATAAACAGATAATTAAACGAATAAACGGAATAAAATGAATAAATAGATAAATAAACATATTGATAGATACATAAATGCATTAAGAAAAAAAGAAGAATCAAAATCAAAACCTCACATCCCCCAATTTTTTTTTAATCAACTGAAAAAAGTAAAAAAAAAAAAAAAAAAAAAAAAAAGAAGAAGAAAACCAAAACCTCCCCCCTCCCTCTCAAAAAAATAAAAAATAAAAATACTGACCCTTCCCTCCGCCAGGCACCATGCTGACGACCCAAGCCCCGCCCACCCAGACCCCGGATGTGCCCTGCGACGACGACCCCTCGTGGCTCCTCTTCAACGACTACTGTTACAAGTTCATTTCCGAGGCCGACGAAGCCCCGCAGACGTGGTGGTCGTCGCACAGGCTGTGTCGCAACGAAGGGGGGGAGCTGGCGTCGATTCACACTTTCGAGGAGAACTATTGGATCGTGTCGAAGGTGGGTTGGGGAGGTGGGTCGGGAAGAGTGGGTTGGGAGGAGTGGTTGGGTTGGGAAGGTGGGTTCGGGATAGGTGGGAGTGGGGAGGTCGGTTGGGGTGTTGGGAGGGGTGGGTGGCTTGGGAAGGTGGGTTTGGGGATGGGGGGTGGGAGTGAGAATGGAAGAGTGGCTTTGGGAGGGTAAATGAGGAAGGGGTGGGAGGAGGAGCTGGGTTGGGAGGGTGTGGGTTTTAAGATAGGTTGGTAGGTGGGCTTGAGAGGTGGTTGGAGGAGGAGGAGGTGGATGGGAGTGGAAAAGTGGGTGGTTGGGTTTTTAAGGGTGGGTTTTATGGGTTGGTTGGGGCGGCCTGCGTTGAATAATAGGTGGGTTAGGTTGACACGTCCATGGGATTCAAGGCCGGGATGGGGTAGGTTAGAGTGGGCTGGGAAGGGTGGGTTGGGTGGGTTGCATTAGGGCTCGGGCTAAGAGCACAGGGGTGGGTTCAGTGCTAGGTGGGTTAAGGGTGAGGGTGAGGAAGGGAGAGAAGGAAAGGATGATAGGGAGTGGGGTGTAGATGTATGAAAATATATACTGAGATATTTAGAGGTATAGGCAGACAGATAAAATGATAAAGAATGAGAAAACTCACTACTATCCTGTTCTAATCTCTGTCTCTCTTCCTCTGTCTTGTTCTTTCTCTCTCTCCTTCCCTTTCTCTTGCTCTACTCTCTCTCTCTTCCCCTCTATCCTGTTTTTTCTCTCTCTCCCTCCCTTTCTCTTGCTCTACTCTCTCTCTCTTCCCCTCTATCCTGTTCTACTTTCTGTCTCTCTCTCCCTCAATCTTATTTTTTTTCTCTCTCTCTCCCTCCCTCTGTCCCGCTCTACCCTTTCTCTCTCTCTCCCTCTGTCCTGTTTTACTTTCACTCTCTCCCCATTCTCCTTAACAACTTCCCTATTCCTACTTTCCATTCATCTCCGAATCCCCTTTTCTCACCTCTCCCTTTTCATATCTTTCCCCTCGCAGATCTACAACAAGACTGACCAGACGCTGTGGATCGGTGGGCGGTCCAAGCTGGACAGCAGTTACGAATGGCTGGATGGCTCCGTCTTCGACTTCATAAACTGGGCCGAGGGCGAACCGAACAACTTCTTGGGTAAGGTTTCGGACGCGTGGAGACAATGGGGGGTGGGGGTGGGGGTAATTGCGAGAATAGAAGTGTGCGAATAGAAATGGAATAAGTAATAGAGTGAGATGTTTTGTTGCGGAAAAAGTAGTTGGTTGTTATTTTGTTTGCGCGTGAACGTACTGACGCACACGCAACCGCGCACGTACTCACGCTCACGCACCCACACACGCACTCGCACACGATCACACAAGCACACACACACACACACACACACACACACACACACACACACACATACACACACACACACACACACACACACACACACACACACACACACACACACACACACACACACACACACACACACACACACACACACACACACACACACACACACACACCACACACACACCACACCACACACACACACACACACACACACACACACACACACACACACACACACACACACACACACACACACACACACACACACATACATAACACACACACACACACCTACACTCACACACATAAAACAAAACCAACAATAAAACAGCAAGAAAAAAGAAAAAAAAGATTCAACAAATATCACTGACCCCTCCCTCTCTCCCCCTCATTCACCCCCAAGACCAAGAGGACTGCATCGGCATGTACACGCGGGCATCCGGGTACTGGAACGACCAGAACTGCGCCCACACCGAGGGGCGTATCTGCAAGCGACCCCACCACGCCACGCTGCCCCCCGCCCAGTCGACCGTCGCTCCCGAGGGCCACTGCCCGTCGGGGTGGCTGCATGTCGGTGAGTTCGGGGATGGGAGCATGTTGGGGAGGGTATGTTGGGGGTATGTTGTTAGGGTTTGTTGGGGTGTATGTTGTTTTCTTTGTTTAAATTAGATTTCAGTGCACTATTAAAGACAAGTCTCTCTCTCCTCTCTCTCTCTCTCTCTCTCTCTCTCTCTCTCTCTCTCTCTCTCTCTCTCTCTCTCTCTCTCTCTCTCTCTCTCTTTCCCTCTCCTCTTCTTGCTCTTTTTTTTTTTGTCCTTTCCTCCTTCCTTCCCTCATTTTCTCCATCCCTCCTTCTCCCCCCCCCTTTCTGTCTATCTATACACTTACCTACCTTTTACCTACCCACCTATCTATCTATCTACTTACCTACCAACCTACCTACCTATCTATATATCTGTCTACCTACCTACTTTTCTATCTATCTACCTACCAACCTACGAATCTATCTACTTACTTATATATCTATTTATCTACCTACCAACCTACTTATCTATCTATCTACCTACGAAACTACTTATCTACCTACGTATCTAACTGCCTGCCTACCTACTTATCTATGTACCTACCTATCTATCTATCTGTCTCCCCTTCTAGGATCGAAATGCTTCAAGTTCTTCACGGAGAGGTTGACCTTCGACGATGCCCGAACGGCTTGCCAAGCGCAGGGGCCTGGCGTGGACATGATCAGCGTTCATTCGTCCAGTGAACAAGGTGGGTGCTCATGGCTGTTCACTTGTTGTTCACTTGTTCATGACAGGTTGTTCAGCTGGTTGTTCATGGCTGTTTTTTACCTTATATATATATATATATATATATATATATATATATACATATATATATCATATATATATATATATATATATATATATATATATATATATATATATATATATATGTATACATATATATATATATGTATACATATATATATATATATAATATATATATATATATATATATATATATATATATATATATATATATATTGATGCTTGGAGTTGAAATTTTATTTATTCATTTTATTTTTTTATTATTTTTTTTTTCAAAATGTAATTGTGATATTGTTGTGATATAGGTCTAGTATTCTTAAAGAAATTGTTCTTAATAATTTTCATATATTGTTCATGATGAACTGTCCTTATGGTCAATGTCTCCTTGCCATCATCATCATCATCATCATCAACATCATCAGCACCCCCACCACTACCACCATCATCACCACCCCCACCCCCACCACCGCCATCATCATAATCATCATCATCACCACTACCACCCATTACCATCATCTTAATCACCACCACCACCACTACCATTATCATCATCATCATCATCATCATCATCACCACTACCATTATTACCATCATCTTCATCATCATCATAATCATCACCACCATCCCACCCCCATCACTAACCCCCCCCCCCCCCCCCCCCAGCCCACCTGTCCGCCGCCCTTGGCCAGATGCAGGTCAACACGTGGCTGGGGATGCGGAACGAGCGCGGCTTCCACTGGGTCGACCAATCAGCTGTGACCTACACCAACTGGGCGCCGGGAGAGCCCAACGGCCACTACTATGGGGTGAGGAAGGGGTCTTACGGGGGGTGTTATGGGGGTGGTAGGGGGGGTGGTGGGGGTGGAGGGGTGTTGGTGTGGGTGTTTGTGTATGAAGGGTATTTGGATCTGTGTGTGTGTAGTAGGGTAGATAAATAAATAGATATAGATATAGGTAGGTAGATATATATAGGTAGATAAATAGACACATTGATAGCTAAAACACACACACACACACACACACACACACACACCACACACACACACACCACACACACACACATATATATAATATATATATATATATATATTATATATATAATATATATATATATATGTAGAGAGAGAGAGAGAGAGAGAGAGAGAGAGAGAGAGAGAGAGAGAGAGAGAGAGAGAGGAGAGAGAGAGAGAGAGAGAGAGAGAGAGAGAGAGAGAGAGAGAGAGAGAGAGAGAGAGAGAGAGAGAGAGAGAGAGAGAGAGAAAGAGAGAAAGAGAGAGCAAACAAGAGAAAAGAAAGAGAAAGAGAAAGAGTGAGAGAGTAAGAAAGGGGATTTTTCCACTTTCTATCTCCAAAATCGATAATTCGGGGATATATTATCAAAATATTCACATTAATGATAAATGTTACTCTTGAAAGATATACACATAAACACGTACAATAGAATGAGGCAATCAAAATGTCTTAGATGATTTATGATCAGATTAAAAAATCTGTGTTTACGTTTTATTGCAGTTATT